TTTGCTTAGTCATTATGGGGTACTGTGTGTAGATTGATGAGGGGAAAAAAACAATTTAATACATTTTAAAATAAGGCTGTAACGTAACAAAATGTGGAAAAGTCAAGGGGTCTGAATACTTTCCAAAAGCACTGTATGTTTTAGCGTTTTTACATCTTTAATAACTTATTTCCAGATATTTTCGCAACTACCCACAATGCACTTTCTCAACATCATATGAAGAACCGGTGCTACCTAGCTAGTTCCAGCTGGCTAACGTTAGCTACTAGCCATGCTTGCATGTAATTACATTCCAAACCAAGTTTTGGCGCTGGTGAGCTACTATGTACATCCACGAAAAATAAACCATATAAATTAATGCGCAAAAATGCATATTTCTTTCCTGTGTGTGAGGTAGTGGTAGTCGAGCGAGAGTTGTAGTAGCTTTCAGTCGTTCGTAGCTAGTACTGTAATACCCACACAGTGCAGTAATACCCACAAGGACGGGTTACGACTCATTTGTGGCCTAAAAACGAAAAGCTAGATTTGAAGTGGGACGGGTTTGTCCGGTAGAAGCAAGCGGATTGGAGAATGGGAACCGTGAGCACGTCTACTGTATGCAGTGCTCATTTCAACGCGGAGGACATCGATGGCTTAGTATAACCAGTGGAAGGCAGGATTTGGAATGAGACTCTGACTGAAACCAGGCACTGTGCCGAGCGTGAATGTGAAGCCTACAACCTCTATTTCCTACCGACCTACCGGTATATCGCGAGTGTCAGCAGTGATGGATATAAACCGGGTAAATTCAATGTGGATTTAACTCACTATATCGCTATTGGATTAGTTGACTCTCCCTCGGCCGGTGAAACGGCCTCTCCCTCTGAAGGCCTCTCCTTGGCTCTTCTTTGACTTTGGTAGCTAACTCAGCTGTCAATTGGTAAGTCTCCGCTCTCTCTAATTTATATCTGCTGGCTTTTTTGTTGTTGTATTCTGTGGGTCCCTGCCTGTGCTAGACTAGTTGTTCTCTGGCTTACTACTTAGCTATGTCGACCGTGGTGGTTGGCTAGCTAGGCTAGTTAGCTGGTTAGGCTAGCCAGCAGGCTAAAATAAACTTTAGCTGGCTGGCTTGCTGGCTAAGATAACTGCATATACCGGTAACATTATTTGATAACTGGTTAGATGGCGTTATGCATTTTGAAAACTTTGGTTTACTTCAATGTAGGTGTAAGCTAGGTGTTGATAGCAACTGGCTGACTCACGCAGTGCTAATGTAACGTTAGCAGGCTAGTAGGGCTAACGTTAGCAGGCTACTTGGCTAGCAACCTTACAAGCTGATTTGTAACAATAAATGTATAATGTATTTGCTTGTAAGTTGGCTGAAAATTTGATTGAAAACAGTAGTCAAGATTGCGAATGATTTGGTTTAATTTGAAATTATACATTTGAAGTTATTTCTGTTGGAGTTTACATTATAGGGAATCGGCTGGCTTGCCGGGTCCTCCACATTACTTCACACCCCGCATTTTTTGCGGCATGACTTCGACATTTTTCAGAATTCTGATCAGTTTTATGTAATAACTCGAAAAATTGAAAAGTGAGGTAATTTTGCATTGGGACTTTTGATGCGTATTCTAATGCAAATCCATATGTTACATGTGGTTACGTTTATGCCACCTACCCTTTAACAGAAGTCAAAACTCTCACGGTAGCTACCCTTAGTTGATGCTAATGTAGCCACGTAGAGCAACGTAGCTATCAAAACAACGTCTTTCGTCACTATAAGGCAACAATAGACCCCATGCATATTGGGTAGCCCATGCTCATTGGGTAGCCACACAGGCTAAACTAAATAGTAGGCTGGTGACTGGTGATTATGGGGAAGCAAGTGTCACTTGTGCGATGTGAAGCCTATGATCGGAGGTGGAGCGGAGCCTGCCTATCTGCCCAGTCATCGCTTGCTTCGCAGCAGCTCACCAGCTGATGTAGGCTGTGTTCCGCGCCCTTCCCACTGCTAGAGAACAGAACCCTCGCTGCTCTGTGCACCCAGTGCTGCTATTATTCTGCTTATCGTAGTAGCCTATCCAGTTCAAGTGCATATACAAGTCACGAGAAGGCGAGTCCAAGTCACCAATGGTCGAGAAGGCGAGTCCGAGTCACCAATAGTCGAGTCACAAGTCATGAAAATCTGGACTCGAGTACTACAGCACTGTCAATTATAGACCATATAAAACCTTGATGAACGTTAGCTTTACAGAAAAGGTTTCAAGATGATCCGATGAATGGTGCATGTTTTTCAAAAGTTTTTCCAAAAAACCTCATGGATGTTACATTGCCTGTCCCTGTCACCCCCCTATTTTTACAAGACACTTCAATTTGGTTTGTATTGCTTCATTAACATCTCATCTTTATAACTAATACTGGGAGACAGCTGTGAGTGGAAAAACAAGCTCTGTGAGCCCTGTCTAAAAGCCATGAAACATGATTGTCTGAACAACCTTTTTGAGACTTGCCCACCTACTGTGTAATGGTCAAAATTCATGCAATTTCCTACTTAAAATTATCAAGGATAATTATGACATGGTTTCATTTGGAAATTAACTTTATTTGTGCATGCTCAGTTTGACTTTTACTCAGAATCACCCTTAAAACGTTATATTTTCACATACCCAAAATGCCTACTATTTAGAACGCAAGTATGGGTATTCGGACAAAGCCACTAACCTGGAAGAAGAGTTCCCTCTCCTCTGGCTCCTCCATCAGGGTTTCAATCAGCTTTGTGAAGCTCGCCTCTGATGCTTCCACATTTGGATCTGAAACCTGCAGCAAGAATGCACAGTGGGTAAATAAAACTAACCATAGGTTAGCAACATTTGATCCTACACACTGTTTATCTATAATGCCATTTAGAAAATATACTTACAGCCTTACATCCTGTCTACTTAGTATTTTGAGGCGAATGTGGGAATAGAACCCACATTATAAGCAATGTGTTCCATGTTACAAGGACCACACTCCAACCAACTGAGCCATTAGAATCACGGTTCCTTCTCGGAGTAGTCCTCACCTCTCCCTTATGATTGGAGATACAGCTCCTCATCCTGTTCAGGTGTGGCTGAACGGTATCAGGGCGACACAACTCATCATCACAGCGACATAACTCCAGAACCAGCTGTCAATAAAATGAGAAGTGAGTATTCATGGCAACAGGTGTGTGCGTGATCATTGAGTTTAATGTTGAAGTAGGTTGAGGTTTCCCCTAGATACTTATCTAAGGTAAATCTTGCGTTTCCTTACATAATGGTTCAGATTTGAAGGTACGCTGATCCTAGATCTGTGCCTAGCGGCAAATTCTACATCTTTCCCTCTTGTCACCCCCACTCACCCGTGCTCTCAGTCCCATGAGGAGTTGGACCCTCTCTCTGTAACTCATCAGCTCAGGGACTATTTCCAACACAGTGGTGGCAAACTCCTCCAGCACCCCATAGTCCATGATGTCTCTCCGCTCAATCACCTGCCACAGAGCAGCACACACCAGCCGCAGCGGAGGAACAAAAAGACGCAGAGACGACAGAGGAAGAGGGGAACCTAGAAGAGAAGATTATGTGCATTCAAAAATAACTTGAAAAAAAAGCAAGCTAGCTACTATAACTTGGCCAGTACTTTATATAATGCCCCAACCCTTTCTGCTCTTGTTCACTCCCCTTTCCAGCTCTTCTAGATACAGGCAGGTGTAAAAAACAGTGCCATCCATGTCAGATCTATGATGAGGAGTAACAGAAGGAGGGAACACCTTTTTGGAATAACATTTAGCCTTGATCTATGAGGAAGCCACAGAGATCCTATTCAATTATTTGAATTCTAATTCTATGGAGGAAGCGATATAATTAAGCAATAAGGCCCAAGGGGGTGTGGTATATGGCCAATATACCATGGCTAAGGGCTGTCCATACGCATGATGCAACGCAGAGGGCCTGGATACAGCCCTTAGCCGTGGTATATTGGCCATATACCACAAACCCCAGAGGTGCCTTATTGCTATTTATAAACTGGTTTAGAGCAGTAAAAATAAATGCTTTGTCATACCCGTGGTATAAGGTTTGATATACCATAGCTGTCAGCCAATCAGCATTCAGGGTTCGACCCACCCAGTTTATAACTACACACATTACACTAAAAAACATTACTGTCTGATTTGCACAACATTTCTAATGATTTATATTATTGAGTTCTTATACTAATGCATGATTTTCTATCTGGTTATGGGTATTTTTTCCAAATTGGCTGTGGTTAAACTCGTTCCAAGGCTCAAGCCAGGGCCCAGTGTGGAAGGGCTATAGTTCTGACGTGCAAAACGACTAGCCAAAATCTAAACTGACCCTTACCTTAACAAACCCGTAACCTTGACCCTAACCAAATGTTTTACCAATTCTCAAATTAAATATATTTGAAGTCCGTATTGCCGCTAAACAAACCATCGTTGTTATAGCCCTTTCCGCGAGACTACTGGCAAAGATGGTGGTTGGCTAGCTAGTAAGGTAGCTAGCTTGAAATTGTGGCAGCAATGCAGATTGCAACAGGTCACCTATACAGTTAATTGTAATATATGAATAATTTACCCTGTTCCTCCCGGAGCGTTTGCATTTTGTGCTTTCGTAAACATTAGCTACACCAAAAACAGTGGATCTCTTCACAGATCTGTCCGTGAAAATCTTGTATACAGCGTCACACGGTGCATAGTACGACATTAATAACGCCTGTTTTTCTGTACCATGTTATCATCTTCAACGATACAAATGTTTTAGCTACACTATTTTTATTTGTAATATGACCAATATAATGATACATTAAATTATGCAACTGTGTTTATGTAGAAAATAGTTCAAACTGCAGGCAGAATTGTAGACAGACAAATGGGAACCTCCTAAACACGTGATTTTTAAGTGCGGAAGTTGTGATTTAAAAAGACGAAAGAAAACGTGAGTGAAGAGTCGTTTTTTCACGGGTGGAAAATAACCATTATGGATGACGAGGAGGAGACCTACAGACTATGGAAAATCCGTAAAACAATCATGCAGGTAAATTGTACAATTGAGAACACTTCATTCCAGGCAGTCGGTTTACAACATAGCTGGGGTGGTCTCACTACGCATATTCTGTTGCAAAACGTTTCGTCTCTTGCAAAACGTTTTGCAACAGAAACCGTTCAGTCTTGTCTCTCTTCCCCCACTCAATTTAACCCCCTAAAAGGTTAAATTCAGTGGTGGAAAAAGTACCCAATTGTCATACTTGAGTAAAAGTAAAGATACCTTATTAGAAGATTACTCAAGTAAAAGTGAAAGTCACCCAGTAAAATACTACTTGAGTAAAAGTCTAAAAGTATTTGGTTTTAAATATACTGAAGTATCAAAACTAAATGTAATTACTAAAACTTACTTTTACTTTTGATACTTAAGTATAAATCATTTCAAATCCCTTATATTAAGAAAACCAGATGGCACTATTCTTGTTTTTTATTTATTTATGGTTAGCCAGGGGCACACTCCATCACTGACTTAATTTTCAAACGAAGCATTTGTGTTTAGTGAGTCCGCCAGATCAGGGGCAGTAGGGATGACCAGGGATGTTCTCTTGATAAGTGCGTGAAATTGACCATTTTCTTGTCCTGCTAAGCATACAAAATGTAACGAGTAGTTTTGGGTGTCGGGGAAAATGTATGGCGTAACCCTGTAAAGAGTACATTATTTTCTTTAGGAATGTAGTGAAATAAAAGTTGTCAAAAAGATAAATAGTAAAATACACATACCCCAAAAAACGACTTAAGTAGTACTTTAAAGTATTTTTACTTAAGTACTTTACACCACTGGTTAAATTGATACACACCTTGCTCAGTTGGTAGAGCATGGCGCTTGCAACGCCAGGGTTGTGGGTTCGATTCCCACAGGGGGCCAGTATGAAAAATTTATGCACTCACTAACTGTAAGTCGCTCTGGATAAGAGCGTCTGCTAAATGACTTAAATGTAAATGATAGGGTTAGTGTTCCCACACAGCCATATATCCATGTTACAGCGCTCATTTACGGAAAACAGATGGAAGACAAGAGGCGACCACCTGTGCTAGCTACAGTGGGGGAAAAAAGTATTTAGTCAGCCACCAATTGTGCAAGTTCTCCCACTTAAAAAGATGAGAGAGGCCTGTAATTTTCATCATAGGTACACGTCAACTATGACAGACAAATTGAGAGAAAAAAATCCAGAAAATCACATTGTAGGATTTTTTAAATGAATTTATTTGCAAATTATGGTGGAAAATAAGTATTTGGTCACCTACAAACAAGCAAGATTTCTGGCTCTCACAGACCTGTAACTTCTTCTTTAAGAGGCTCCTCTGTCCTCCACTCGTTACCTGTATTAATGGCACCTGTTTGAACTTGTTATCAGTATAAAAGACACCTGTCCACAACCTCAAACAGTCACACTCCAAACTCCACTATGGCCAAGACCAAAGAGCTGTCAAAGGACACCAGAAACAAAATTGTAGACCTGCACCAGGCTGGGAAGACTGAATCTGCAATAGGTAAGCAGCTTGGTTTGAAGAAATCAACTGTGGGAGCAATTATTAGGAAATGGAAGACATACAAGACCACTGATAATCTCCCTCGATCTGGGGCTCCACGAAAGATCTCACCCCGTGGGGTCAAAATGATCACAAGAACGGTGAGCAAAAATCCCAGAACCACACGGGGGGACCTAGTGAATGACCTGCAGAGAGCTGGGACCAAAGTAACAAAGCCTACCATCAGTAACACACAACGCCGCCAGGGACTCACATCCTGCAGTGCCAGACGTGTCCCCCTGCTTAAGCCAGTACATGTCCAGGCCCGTCTGAAGTTTGCTAGAGTGCATTTGGATGATCCAGAAGAGGATTGGGAGAATGTCATATGGTCAGATGAAACCAAAATAGAACTTTTTGGTAAAAACTCAACTCGTCGTGTTTGGAGGACAAAGAATGCTGAGTTGCATCCAAAGAACGCCATACCTACTGTGAAGCATGGGGGTGGAAACATCATGCTTTGGGGCTGTTTTTCTGCAAAGGGACCAGGACGACTGATCCGTGTAAAGGAAAGAATGAATGGGGCCATGTATCGTGAGATTTTGAGTGAAAACCTCCTTCCATCAGCAAGGGCATTGAAGATGAAACGTGGCTGGGTCTTTCAGCATGACAATGATCCCAAACACACCGCCCGGGCAACGAAGGAGTGGCTTCGTAAGAAGCATTTCAAGGTCCTGGAGTGGCCTAGCCAGTCTCCAGATCTCAACCCCATAGAAAATCTTTGGAGGGAGTTGAAAGTCCGTGTTGCCCAGCGACAGTCCCAAAACATCACTGCTCTAGAGGAGATCTGCATGGAGGAATGGGCCAAAATACCAGCAACAGTGTGTGAAAACCTTGTGAAGACTTACAGAAAACGTTTGACCTGTGTCATTGCCAACAAAGGGTATATAACAAAGTATTGAGAAACTTTTGTTATTGACCAAATACTTATTTTCCACCATAATTTGCAAATAAATTCATAAAAAATCCTACAATGTGATTTCCTGATATTTTTTTGTTTGTTTGTTTGTATTTTTTTGTATTTTTTTTCTCTCATTTTGTCTGTCATAGTTGACGTGTACCTATGATGAAAATTACAGGCCTCTCATCTTTTTAAGTGGGAGAACTTGCACAATTGGTGGCTGACTAAATACTTTTTTTCCCCACTATCTAGCATGCTCCGAACACCTGTGTGTAAGGGAGTGAACGTTATTTCTAATAAGGGTTACATGGAGAAAATCGGACCTCTCTGAAATTAAAATGGATGGCGTCCCCATCAGAAAAATATTTTAACTAAACCCTCCCTGAACGCTTGAAAAAAACAACAAGTGACCCTCCCCTATACCCAAAATAATAATTCAAACAAAGTGGATAGCAGAGAACATGTCTACCGTTTACCCTCACTTCTTGGACAGACCATGGCCCAGATTCACAAAACACTTCTTACGAAAAGAAAAAAATAAGTTCATAAGATAGTTAATAAGTGCAATTCCTCAACAATATCTTAAGATTGAATGATTTTCTTACGAACTTGTAAAATATATTCACACAAATATCTTAAGATTGTTGTGTTAGCATATTTCAATCTGAGATTACTGTTCTAAAACATGTTGTTGGGTTTAAAATAATCAATACTGAAACTTTCAGATGAAGTTTGAATGAATTAAAAATGTTAAATTGCTTTCATGAGCTTATTCTCTCACTGACCTGAGTTTAAGACAAGGGTTTAGCTATCTTGGAATTAAGAACATTTCCAAGAACAAATCCAATAACTTTATCTTCAAGAATCTAATTTATTCTTCACTTTTTGTTTAAGGAGAAACATAAGAAATAACGTAAGAACATTTCCAATAACCTTTTTGAGGAATAGTAACTTTGTTTTACTTTGTTCAAAAGTCTATAGTTAGGAAGACATTTCTTCTTAAGAACATTTTGTGAATCTGGGCCCAGAGCCTTAGATATGCAGTTTTACAAACTGTTATTAGTCCTGTAAGCATTAAACGGCAAGGTAGGAATTTTTATAGCGCACAGGGCTCTGGGCCAGAAGGCCACCGTGGACAAGAGTAGGGGTGGAAAGATCTCCTTTACAGTAAAAGCATTGCATGAATCTAGCATTGTATTTGCAGGTCAGAGAATTTTCTTTTAATTTAAAAAATCATGCAATTCTACGTAATTTTACATATTAGCAGAATCTTTTTTTAATACCACACAAATTACTGAAATTACAGACTAAGAATGGACAGAGATAGGCCTATAGTTGAAGTCGGAAGTTTACATACACTTAGGTTGGAGTCATTAAAACTCGTTTTTCAACCACTCAACAGTTTTAGCAAGTCGGTTAGGACATCTGCTTTGTGCATGACACAAGTAATTTTTCCAACAATTGTTTACAGACAGATTATTTCACTTACAATTCACTGTATCACAATTCCAGTGAGTCAGAAGTTTACATGCTCTAAATTGAATGTGCCTTTAAACGGCTTGGAAAATTCCAGAAAATGATGTCATGGCTTTAGAAGCTTCTGATAAGCTAATTGATATCATTTGAGTCAATTGGTGGTGTACCTGTGGATGTATTTCAAGGCCTACCTTCAAACTCAGTGCCTCTTTGCTTGACATCATGAGAAAATGAAAAGAAATCAGCCAAGACCTCAGAAAAATAATTGTAGACCTCCACAAGTCTGGCTCATCCTTGGGAACAATTTCCAAATGTTCATCTGTACAAACAATAGTACGCAAGTATAAACACCATGGGACCACGCAGCCGTCATACCGCTCAGGAAGGAGATGCGTTCTGTCTCTTAGAGATTAACGTACTTTGGTGCGAAAAGTGCAAACCAATCCCAGAACAACAGGAAAGGACCATGTGAAGATGCTGGAGGAAAGAGGTACAAAAGTATTTATATCCACAGTAAAGCAAGTCCTATATTGACATAACCTGAAAGGTCCGCTCAGCAAGGAAGAAGCCACTGCTCCAAAACCGGCCATAAAAAAGCCAGACTATGGTTTGCAACTGCACATGGGGACAAAGATCGTACTTTTTGGAGAAATGTCCTCTGGTCTGATGAAACAAAAATAGAACTGTTTGGCCATAATGACCATCGTTATGTTTGGAGGAAAAAGGGGGTGCTAGCATGCCGAAGAACACCATCCCAACCGTGAAGCACGGGGGTGGAAGCATCATGCTGTGGGGGTGTTATTCTGCAGGAGGGAGTGGTGCACTTCACAAAATAGATGGCATCATGAGGAAGGAAAATTATGTGGATATATTGAAGCAACATCTGAAGACATCAGTCAGGAAGTTAAAGCTTGGTCACAAATGGGTCTTCCAAATGGACAATGACCCCAAGCATACTTCCAAAGTTGTGGCAAAATGGCTTAAGGACAACAAAGTCAAGGTATTGGAGTGGCCATCACAAAGCCCTGACCTCAATCCTATAGAAAATGTGTGGGCAGAACTGAAAAAGTGTGTGCGAGCAAGGAGGCCTACAAACCTGACTCAGTTACACCAGCTCTTTCAGGAGGAATGGGCCAAAATTCACCCAAATTATTGTGGGAAGCTTGTGGAAGGCTACCCGAAACGTTTGACCCAAGTTCAAAAATGTAAAGGCAATGCTACCAAATACTAATTGAGTGTATGTAAACTTCTGACCAACTGGAAATGTGATGAAAGAAATAAAAGCTGAAATAAATCACTCTCTCTACTATTATTCTAACATTTCATATTCTTAAAATAAAGTGGTGATCCTAACTGACCTAAGACAGGGAATTTTTACTAGGATTAAATGTCAGGAATTGTGGAAAAACTGAGTTTAAATGTATTTGGCTAAGGTGTATGCAAACTTCCGACTTCAACTGTATATACATATCCTTTAAAAAAATATATTTCCCTTTATTACTTTCCAACCCCACCACCCCTCCCCTAATTGGAGTAAACTAGTGAACAACAACGCTTAGGCCTCTACTTCCAGCTTACACATACTATATACATTTTATGGACACAGTCAATTTTACAATAATTCTAATTTGTTTGTTTTTACTCCTGAACTTCCTCTACCCTCAACCTCTCCGATCATTTTCATGATGTCCATCCGATTTGCTTCTATATGCCATATCTTTCTAACTGTGCTCGTTCACAAAAGCTCTCAACCTGTAACCTATATACTTATTATGGACACAGTATGCTTTACATTAGTTCTCTTGTTGTTATTAGTCCCATCCTTCAGTTCCATTCAACACCTCCCATCTATCTCTTAACACCATCCATATTGGATTTCTATACTGTACTGTGATGTTTCACAAAAGTTTTGAACCCTTCTATTCTCATTGTTTCTACAGATTGTAAATTGAAAATAAACATTTTTGCTAAAAGTATTATTATATTATTGATCGATTGACTATGACTTTTCAGATCACCCAGTAGTGCTATCTGCAGGGTTAGCTCTAGGTAAATATTGCAATCCTTCAGCCATTCCTGGACCTGTGACCAAAAACAAGCTACAAATGGACAGTACCAAAACAAATGATCTAATGATTCTGTCTCTTTGCAGCGAAATCTGCAGAGCTGGGAAGATTGTATCCCCCATATAAATAACATTCTATTGGTAGCAAGAATTGTATAAAATAATTTAAATTGAAAGATTCTAAGTTTTGAATCCGGTGTCGTTTTGCGTATCAGTTCATAAACACTATGCCATGGAATCGGTACGTCAAAAATCTCTTCCCAACTATTTTGCAATCTATATTGGACGGCTGTCAATCCTTTGGTCCTTAAATGAAACTGGTATACTTTTTTTATTTATCACCATTTTCTTTAACCAATTATATTCTTTGATGGAGGGCCGACAGACAAGTTCCTTACTTTTTCCACCTTCCACTTTCCTCTTCCATTTTTGCGGTAATGCGGCAATTATTTGGTTGTAATTTTGGGTAGAGCAGACATTTCCATATGTTTTTGTTAGCTGCGTGTTCGACAACTCCATCAGTCCTACCTATAATATAATTTACGAAGATTATACCTTTTTAAAACATTTCTTCAAAAACGAATGGTTTTTTATCAATTAGTATATTTGAGTTTAACCATAATATTTGTTGCATTATTTGTTCTGTCGTTTCTGGAGGATTAAATTGAAATTGCAACCAACTTTCTATGGCTTGTTTTAGAAATGGTGATATTTGGGTGATGAATTCCTTTTCAAATAACTGAAAGTGAGAGGTTGTCATCTGATTAAAGGGGAAAAGGCCATTCTTGAACATGGGGTGAGACAATCTTACTAATTTGCTAGAGAACCAGTTAGGATTTAAGTCTAATTTTTGTATGACTGAAGCTTTTAGTGATAGGTCTAATGCTTTAATATTTAATAATTTCTTTCCTCAGAATTCATATTCATTATATAAAAAGGCCCGTTTAATTATGTCTGGCTTGCCGTTCCATTTTTTCTCTCATATAATTTAAAAACTGTTCGCTAGATGTAGGCAAGAGCATAAGCAAATAGGTAAACTGGGATAATACTAAAGAGTTAATCAGGGTGATTTTTCCACAAATAGACAGGTATTTACCTTTACATGGTAGCAAGATCTTATCTATTTGTGCTAACTTTCTATTAAAATGTATTGTGGATCATTTATTTCATTTGGGATATGTATTCCGAGTATATCCACATCACCATCAGACCATTTTATTGGTAAACTACATGGTAATGTAATAATTGTATTTTTTAGTGATCCAATACGTAAAATAGTATATTTATCATAATTTGATTGTAATCCAGAGAGGTTAGAAAAGGTATCTAGATCCTCATCAGACTATTCTTGATTTAATCATGTCTTTACATATACTAAATAAGATATGTGTGAAATTAGTTTTGATTTAGAATGGACCATTATCATGCACCTGTCTCGAAACAGGGGCACGGGAAAAAATACATGTACCGGTAATCTCTGCACTTATATCGTGAATGGAGGACGCTTTTCCTGTGGTTCATTTCCATGCCAGCTAGGTAGGCTATACTCCTGTTGTAAAGATAAGCGATGTGCTTAATTTTTGCTAATTTGAGAAATAAATATAGTAGGCCTAGCCTATAGAAAGCTGATGGGATCCTCCTCTTTTTAATAGAGGCCATCACTCTGTTTTTTTGCGTAGCCTATAGATATGTTGCGCAACATGAGCTCATGGGCTCTCATTAAGTGTTTGATTACATTATTGATTACATTTGCATTGAAGTCAGAGTGATCAGAGGGACAATAGAGTGCTGAGTACCAGGCAGTTAGCAAGTTTGGTAGGCTACTAATGACCATCAGCAGCATCAGAGCTTGGAGAAGCCTAATTACCGTGACTAAACGGTCACGTGGAATTTGACTGCCTTCATGACTCGTGACCGCCGGTGTGGCGGTAATACGGTCACCGCAACAGCCCTAGTCACGTCTTTCCCAGGTATTTTACAGCTTGTTTCTAGCATTGCGGACCAAAGCGCTGTTATAGATCCCTTTATATAATCGGATCAGTTTTATTTACTTCAAAATATCTAATCAAATGTTATTGTTTGCATACACATGTTTAGCAGATGTTATTGCGGGTGTAGCGAAATGCTTGTGTGCCATCTCCAACAGTGCAGTAATATCTAACAATACACATCTAAAAGTAAAATAATGGAATTAAGAAATATTAGGACGAGCAATGTCGGAGTCCGGAATATATATATGGGATGTATATAATAATATGCCATTTAGCAGACGCTTTTATCCAAAGCGACTTACAGTCATGCGTGCATGATTTTTTTTTGTGTACGTGTGGTCCCGGGGATCGAACCCACTACCTTGGCGTTACAAGCGCCGTGCTCTACCAGCTGAGCTACAGAGGACCACTTGTATATGGGATGTATCGACTATATATGGGATGTATAGACATTGTGGATAGAATATATAGTATATCTGAAGAATATGTGGATAAAATAGTATACTGTATGTACAGTAATAGTTGAATAGGATGGACTTGACTAGAATACAGTATATACGAAATGGGTAAAACAATATGTAAAAATTATTAAAGTTACCAGTGTTCCATGTCTATGTACATAGGGCAGAAGCCTCTAAGGTACAGGGATGAGTAACCGGGTGGTAGCTGGCTAGTAACTGAGTTCAGGGCAGGGTACTGGGTGGAGGCTGGCTAGTGATGGCTATTTAACAGGCTGTTGGCCTTGAGATATACTGAAAAACAGCTTCTCTCAGTCCCAGCTTTGATGCACCTGTAATGACCTCACCTTCTGGATGATAGCGGGGTGAACAGGCCGTAGCTCGGGTGGCTGAGGTCCTTGGTGATCGTCTTGGCCTTCCTGTGACACTGGGTGCTGTAGATGTTCTGAAGGGCAGGCAGTGGGCTGACCGCACCCCCCTTTTGGAGAGCCCTGTGGTTGCGGACGGTGCAGTTGCCGTACCAGGCGGTGATACAGCCTGAAAGGATGCTTTCAATAGTGCATCTGTACAAATATGTGAGGGTCTTGGGGGCCAAGCTGAATTTCTTCAGCCTCCTGAGGTTGAAGAGGCCCTGTCTGTGTGGGTGGACCATTTCACGTTCTCCACTGCGGCCCCGTCGATGTGGATGGAGCGGGCTCCCTCTGCTGTTTCCTGAGGTCCACAATCAGCTCCTTCGTTTTGTTGACGTTGAGGGAGAGGTTATTTTCCTGGCACCACTCTGCCAGGGCCCTCATCTCGTCCCTGTAGGCTGTCTCGTTGTTGGTAATCAGGCCTACCACTGTTGTGTTTTCTGCAAACTTGATGATTGAGTTGGAGGCGTGCGTGGCCATGCAGTCATGGGTAAACAGGGAGTACAGGATGGGGCTGAGCACACACCCTTGTGGGGCCCCTGTGTTGAGGATCAGCAAAGTGGAGGTGTTGTTGCCTACCTCCACCACCTGGGGGTGGCCCGTCAGGAAGTCCAGGACCCAGCTGCAAAGGGCGGGGTTCAGACCCAGGGCCCCGAGCTTAATGATGAGCTCGGAGGGTACTATGTTGTTGAAATCTTAAGCTAACAAGAGGTAGGCCTGTGCTTTTTGCCATTTTCTTTAATAAAAGGTAGGCCTATGGAATACCCTTTCAATTCGAGTATTGGTTTTAACTTAACAGCCCTTCACTGACATGGAGGTAGGCTATTTAAAGAGTGCATGGTGGGTGGCGGATTTGACTGACAAATCTATGGATATAGCAGCCTATAGCCTAATTTCGTCTCGGAAGAAATAGGCTCGAACACAAAGCCCTCTTGTTGTTAGTAAAGTCTAATTAAAATTAAGACTGTTAAAATGAATTATGCCTATTCGAATTTGCCCACTTCCATTTCTTATTGATTGTGCCTCAGCTGCTATTTCAAGTTTCGGCACCACAATGGAAGTTAGTAAAAACTGGCTTATTGTGAGGTCAATAACTCTGATAAATACATCATGGGCAAGGAAACATATTGTTTTTTATTAAATATATTAGGGCTGTCCCCAACTAAAAAAAAATCTTAGTTGACCGAAAGTAGTCTGTACTTTCAACCAATCGATTGGTCAAAATTTTGAACCGTGTATTTTTCCATATATAGACACACCCTATGTGTTTTAATAAAATCAACTATATGCATTGAGCTTGTCTGATGCTTTAAGCTTACGGTTTGATGAAATAAGACAAATGCCTCGAGGGCACCAGAGATCTAGATAACCAGAAGAAATAAAACTTAACCTGACCCAACTATTCTCCTCCCACTCCTGCTGGCTTTTGCAGATTCTGCCATTACTCTCCTGAAGTTGCCGGTAATAGGCTACACGAGGAGTCGGCAACCTTTCTCATGTGGAATGCCAATTTAGCTTACCATTTCTACCGAAGTCAGGGCATTCATACTTCTTGCGCTTCGCGGAGCAGTGCAGAACAAGGAAGTGAGTTTGTTTTCTACCGGATGTACCGCCCCCACCTACCGTCAACCAATCACATCATTGCGGAGCTATACAGAGCCGTCTGCATTGTTACAAAATTTGGGAGGCGCATGGCGATGTGATAGGAAGCTCGATTTGGCATCTGCATGCCTCTGGATGCTCTGCAATTGCGTCACCCCCCCCCCCCCATATTGAGCCTCCGACCACATTTTCAGATCAAGCATAAATTGGCTTTTAGTCTAGGCCTCTACAATGGATCAGTTCACTGAGATGGGCGCAAATATATATACAGTGCCTTTGGAAATTATTCAGACCCCTTGACATTTTCCACATTTTGTTAGGTTACAGCCTTATTCTAAAATTGATTTTTTTTTTAATCTTCATCAATTTACACACAATACTCCATAATGACAAAGCAAAATTTTTTTTTAAATGTTTGTTAATTTATAATAAATAAAACACAGATATCACATTTACATTTACCCTTTACTCAATACTTTGTTGAAGCACCTTTGGCAGTGATTACAGCCTCGAGTCTTCTTGGGTATGACGTCACAAGCTTGGCACACCTGTATTTGGGGAGTTTCACCCATTCTTCTCTGCAGATCCTCTCAAGCTCTGTCAGGTTGGATGGGGAGTGTTGCTGCACAGCTATTTTCTGGTCTCTCCAGAGATGTTCGATCAGGTTCAAGTCCGGGCTCTGGCTGGGCCACTCAAGGACATTCAGAGACTTGTCCCGAAGCCACTCCTGCGTTGTCTTGGCTGTGTGCTTAGGGTCGTTGTCCTGTTGTAAGGTGAAACTTCACCCCAGTCTGAGGTCCTGAGCGTAGGTTTTCATTAAGGATCTCTCTGTACTTTGCTCCGTTCATCTTTCCCTCGATCCTGACTAGTCTCCCAGTCCCTGCCGCTGAAAAAAATCCCCACAGCATGATGCTGCCACCACCATGCTTCACCGTAGGGATGGTGCCAGGTTTCCTCCAGACGTGACGCTTGGCATTCAGGCCAAAGAGTTCAAACTTGGTTTCATCAGACCAGAGAATCTTGTTTCTCATGGTCTGAGAGTCTTTAGGTGCCTTTTGGCAAACTCCAAGCGGGCTGTCATGTGCATTTTACTGAGGAGTGGCTTCCGTCTGGCCCCTCTACCATAAAGGCCTGATTGGTTGTGTGCTGCAGAGAAGGTTGTCCTTCTGGAAGGTTCTCCCATCTCCACAGAGGAACTCTAGAGCTCTGTCAGAATGACCATTGGGTTCTTGGTCACCTCCCTGACCAAGGCCCTTCTCCCCCGTTTGCTCAGTTTGGCTGGGCGGCCAGCTCTAGGAAGAGTCTTGGTGGTTCCAAACTTCTTGCATTTAAGAATGATGGAGGCCACTGTGTTCTTGGGGACCTTCAATGCTGCAGAAAGTTATTGGTACCCTTCCCCAGATAGCAAAGGGTCTGAATACTTATATAAATAAGGTATCCGTTTTTTTTTTTTTTATACATTTGCAAAAATGTCTAAAAGCCTGTTTTCGCTTCATCATTATTGGGTGTTGTGTGTAGATTGCTGAGGATTTGTATTTATTTAATCAATTTTGGAATAAGGCTGTAACGTAACAATGTGGAAAAAGTCAAGGGTCTGAATACTTTCCAAAGGCACTGTATATTTGTTACTGCTCGACTAAAATAATCTCGGTAGACCAACAGCCTAACGACCAAACAATCGACCGGTCGACTAATTGGGGTCAGCCCTAAAATCAATTATAGTAGTAGCAAGGTATCAAAGTTGACCTCCTGTCCTCCTCATCGTCGCTCTCTCCTTCTCAAACTGAACAGAACATAGGCTATAGGCTAGTCCTCCTCCTGAACTGCCACATTAGCCCTACACAGCACAGCAGCCCTACACAGCACAGCCATTGGTTAAGCAGCACACAAAAACATTTTTGATCAGCAAGAGCAGAGCAGGCCGGGGCTCAGGGTTGGAATATCCATTGCAGTGTGTAATGCAGTCTGGTTTTATTTACACTATCCCAGCAGCTATCTTAAAAAAATATAACTTTGCTCTGTGCTTCTGTGAGCATGCACTTCGTAGCCTATAGGATATGGATCATTTGATTGATACCACACTAAATACCGTATAGGCGCAATTGATATTGCACACCCAGAGGATAATCAGATGAGGGGCGGCATTGGGCACACATCAATATATAGCCTAATAAGCAACTAATTCTAAAACACTGAGAAATATTGAAAATTTCATCAATTACAAATTACATGACCCTCCCCTGGCATAGATTAAAATAAAATAAAAACTAAACCCTCCCCTTGACTGAGATTGAAAAAGCAAGACCCTCCCCCATTTCCCTCCAGGTAACCATTCTGTAAATTTCGATCCGTCCCTAAGCGTAACTCGGGAAGTGTAGCGGAAGTCTCCCGAGTGGCGCAGTGGTCTAAGGCACTGCATCGCAGTACTAGCTGTGCCACTAGAGATCCTGGTTCGAATCCAGGCTCTGTCGTAGCCGGCCGCGACCGGGAGACCTATGGGGCGGCGCACAATTGGCCCAGGGGAGGGAATGGGATGTAGCTCAGTTGGTAGAGCATGGCGTTTGCAACGCCAGGGTTGTGGGTTCGATTCCCACGGGAGGCCAGTATGAAAAATAAAATAATGTATGCACTCACTAACTGTAAGTCGCTCTGGATAAGAGCGTCTGCTAAATGACTTAAATGTAAAAATGGAAGTGTAGTTTCGTTGGATGGAGGCACCCATTGCTGTATGGATCTGTGCAAACCTGCTACAGTAAGTGCATCTGTGCAAACAATATTATGAAAAGATATTTGGTTACATATGTGCCATTTCTTACTGATCTCTACAGCTTACATCCAACAACAAATCCTGTATTTTGGTATTCTGTTGCAAAAAATGTCTTAAACAGAAGCAAATAGAACGAAATGGGAATGGACCTACCTACATTTGTCCAATAGAAACTCTAGTTTTGCAACTAAAACAAGAGTTTCTATTGGACAAATTCAGGTAGGTCCCTCCCCGTTTTTGCTCTGTTTAATTCCGTTTAAGACACATTTTGAAATAGAATCGGCGTAATGAATACCCCCTAGCTAGCTAGTATCGTTGGTACAATTACAGTATGAAGGTTTTCAGATACAACCAGAGATGGTTTACAATGTTTTAATTGTATCTTAATTTAGTGATATTTTAAAGGGCCAATTTGCGATTGCTACATACATGTTTTGAGACTTTTACATTCCCAAAGATTGATGAAGAATAAAACGTAGAAATGCCTCATGAGCTTAATTCAAGGGATAGTGCGAGATTTCAAGATTTTTTTCTACTTACCCAGAGTCAGATGAACTCATGGATACCATTTGTATGTCTCAGCGTGCAGTTTGGGGATAATTTAAGTTAGCTTAGCATAATTGTTGGAAGTCTGCAGGTACAGTAGCCAGGTCCTCTCAAAAGCAGGGAAATAGAGTAGCTAACTCAAATAGATTATTCAGCTACCGGTAGCTAGCTAACTCCACTTATCTATTCAGTGTTCCCTTTTCACATAGTTGTGTCATGACCGAGGCTATCTAGTGACGCAGGATGAGTTGGACCAGACTCTGGACGAGTTCAAGAGCCAGTTTGGGGACAAGCCGAGTGAAGGGCGCCCGCGTCGGACAGACCTCACTGTGCTGGTCGCCCACAATGATGACCCGACTGACCAGATGTTCGTCTTCTTTCCAGGTAACTAGGAGACAAACAAACCCGAGTGCCACAGCACCATGCATGCATTTAAGATGTCACTAGCTATTTTCTAAAAACATATTTTGGACTGTGAACATCACTTCACTACAATTGTTGCCCAATCAATCAACATCTCTTTGTCCACAGAGGAGCCCAAGGTGGGAATCAAGACCATAAAGATGTACTGCCAGCGCATGCAGGAGGAGAACATCACACGCGCCTGCATCGTGGTCCAGATGGGGATGACCCCTTCCGCCAAACAGGTGGGGCAGGGCTGAGCCACTAAGCTGGTCTATGCAGGGTTTTTTCTGGATCAAATGGGGTTTAGGTGGCGGGTGTGTTGGGGGCGTGGCCAACAGTGTGGTCGCCAACCGAAATCTGAGGCCTTTCTGTTGGCCGAAGTGTCTAAATTTAGCTGTTTTAAAGCAAATTTCCTGCAATTCTACACATTTTGTCATGTGGCAGAGATCAAATATTGCAGTTTTAAAGACTCAAACGTTATATGCAAAGCTGTCATCAAGACAAAGGGTGGCTACTTTGAAGAATCTCAAATATAAAATATATTTTGATTTGTTTAACACTTTTTTGGTTACTATATTATTCCATGTGTTATTTCATAGTTTTGATGTCTTCACAATTTTTATACAATGTAGAAAATTGTAAAAATAAAGACAAACCCTGGAATGAGTAGGTGTGTCCAAACTTTTAACTGGTACTGTATATATCTTCTTTTTTTTTTGGACAGAGGTCCGGAAAAAAAACTTAGGCGGCCCGCCCAAGACTTTTCTATGCAGAAAAAAACCCTGTCTATGGCAATTCTTCCTTCCTTCATGCTCGGAAGAATCACTGGTATAACGCAGTCATAAAGGTCCCAGCAGGAATTGCACTACAGCTAACATCTACTCATTCACGTCAGATACCTCCACGGAGCGGAGGAAGAAAATATACCTTTTTTCATAGTATTCTAACAGAGATGTTACTTTTCAAGTGGCCCCGTACTAAACTAATCACCCATCCTTATCTAGGGGCCCGTAATGACTCTCTCTTGTTTCTTTCCCTCCAGTCGTTGGGGGACATGGCACCTAAATACATCCTGGAGCAGTTTCTACAACAGGAGCTCCTCATCAACATCACAGAGCATGAGGTATGTGCGCTAGTTTAGATGTAATCCACACACAGTATCATGCCTAAAGGGGGCATTAAGGCCAAGCACCGCAGGCTAAAATGACATTTTTGCATAAATTGTGACATTTGTTTTGGATTTTGGTCCATTAGCATTTTCAAAAAATTAAAATATCAAAAGGTTGAAAATGTATATTTTCATTAGTTTATCATACATCCATAACTTCAAAGCTCACTACATTAAATAACATAATTTAAAAGCCCATTTCATAGAGAATGTTACAAACTGGGCTATACAGTGGGGAGAACAAGTATTTGATACACTGACGATTTTGCAGGTTTTCCTACTTACAAAGCATTTAGAGGTCTGTAATTTTTATGATAGGTACACTTCAACTGTGAGAGACGGAATCTAAAACAAAAATCCCGAAAATCACATTGTATGATTTTTAAGTATTAATTTATTGCATGACATAAGTATTTGATCACCTACCAACCAATAAGAATTCCGGCTCTCACAGACCTGTTAGTTTTTTTTAAAGAAGCCCTCCTGTTCTCCACTCATTACCTGTATTAACTGCACCTGTTTGAACTCGTATAAAAGACACCTGTCCACACACTCAATCAAACAGACTCCAACCTCTCCACAATGGCCAAGACCAGAGAGCTGTGTAAGGACATCAGGGATAAAATTGTAGACCTGCACAAGGCTGGGATGGGCTACAGGACAATAGGCAAGCAGCTTGGTGAGAAGGCAACAACTGTTGGCGCAATTATTAGAAAATGGAAGAAGTTCAAGATGACGGTCAATCACCCTCGGTCTGGGGCTCCATGCAAGATCTCACCTCGTGGGGCATCAATGATCATGAGGAAGGTGAGGGATCAGCCCAGAACTACACGGCAGAACCTGGTCAATGACCTGAAGAGAGCTGGGACCACAGTCTCAAAGAAAACCATTAGTAACACACTACGCCGTCATGGATTAAAATCCTGCAGCACACGCAAGGTCCCCCTGCTCAAGCCAGCGCATGTCCAGGCCCGTCTGAAGTTTGCCAATGACCATCTGGATGATCCAGAGGAGGAATGGGAGAAGGTCATGTGGTCTGATGAGACAAAAATAGAGCTTTTTGGTCTAAACTCCACTCGCCGTGTTTGGAGGAAGAAGAAGGATGAGTACAACCCCAAGAACACCATCCCAACCGTGAAGCATGGAGGTGGAAACATCATTCTTTGGGGATGCTTTTCTGCAAAGGGGACAGGACGACTGCACCGTATTGAGGGGAGGATGGATGGGGCCATGTATCGCGAGATCTTGGCCAACAACCTCCTTCCCTCAGTAAGAGCATTGAAGATGGGTCGTGGCTGGGTCTTCCAGCATGACAACGACCCGAAACACACAGCCAGGGCAACTAAGGAGTGGCTCCGTAAGAAGCATCTCAAGGTCCTGGAGTGGCCTAGCCAGTCTCCAGACCTGAACCCAATAGAAAATCTTTGGAGGGAGCTGAAAGTCCGTATTGCCCAGCGACAACCCCGAAACCTGAAGGATCTGGAGAAGGTCTGTATGGAGGAGTGGGCCAAAATCCCTCCTGCAGTGTGTGCAAACCTGGTCAAGACCTACAGGAAATGTATGATCTCTGTAATTGCAAACAAAGGTTTCTGTACCAAATATTAAGTTCTGCTTTTCTGATGTATCAAATACTTATGTCATGCAATACAATGCAAATTAATTACTTAAAAATCATACAATCTGATTTTCTGGATTTTTGTTTTAGATTCCGTCTCTCACAGTTGAAGTGTACCTATGATAAAAATTATAGACCTCTACATGCTTTGTAAGTAGGAAAACCTGCAAAATCTGCAGTGTATCAAATACTTGTTCTCCCCACTGTATCTATTAACTTACTTTTAAGAGATCCTGATTGGGTCTAAATAGGTGTTTGGCATTTGGTAGTCTAAATTCAGTGTGCTTGTCTTTAACGACCATTTCCCCAAAATCAGACTCTTCCCACACGCCAACACATTTTTCTCAGTCTCAGAAGCATCTGTACTCACCAGATTTTGTGTGGTTATCCTTAGACGTATTCTCCAGACTTGTACATAGGGAATTGCTGATATGTTGTAAATGTTTTATTCTAGATGACATTTTCTCCTGAAAAATGTGCCAAAATGCATTTTACGTACCTTTCTTTAGTATTTTACAGATAGAAAGATGAAAAAAGTATTTTCATCCACAATCTGCTATGTACTTAGCATTCGGAAAGTATTCATACCCTTTCCCCACATTTTGTTACATTACAGCCTTATTCTAAAATTGATTAAATAAGTAAAAATCATCAATCTACACACAATACCCCATAATGACAAAGCGAAAACAGGTTTAGACATTTTTGCAAATGTATAAAAAAAACAGAAATACCTTATTTATATAAGTAAGTATTTAGACCCTTTGCTATGAGACTCGAAATTGAGCTCCGGTGCATCCTGTTTCCATTGATCATCCTTGAGATGTTTCTACAACTTGATTGGAGTCCACCTGTGGTAAATTCAATTGATTGGACACGATTTGGAAAGGCACACACCTGTCTATATAAGGTCCCACAGTTGACAGTGCATGTCAGAGCAAAAACCAAGCCATGAGGTCGAAGGAATTTTCCGTAGAGCTCCTAGACAGGATTGTGTCAAGGCACAGATCTGGGGAAGGGTACCAAAACATTTCTGCAGCATTGAAGGTCCCCAAGAACACAGTAGCCTCCATCATCCTTAAATGGAAGAAGTTTGGAACCACCAAGGATCTTCCTAGAGCTGGCCGCCCGGCCAAACTGAGCAATCGGGAGAGAGGGGCCTTGGTCAAGGAGATGACCAAGAACCCGATGGTCACTCTGACAGAGTTCCAGAGTTCCTCTGTGGAGATGGGAGAACCATCTCTGCAGCACTCCACCAATCAGGCCTTTATGGTAGAGTGGCCAGACAGAAGCCACTCCTCAGTAAAAGGCACATTACAGCACCTAAAGGACTGACCATGAGAAACAAGATTCTCTGGTCTGATGAAACCAAGATTGGTCTGCCAAGTTTCACACCTGGAGGAAACCTGGCACCATCCCTACGGTGATGCATGGTGGTGGCAGCATAATGCTCTGGGGATGATTTTCAGCAGCAGTGACTGGGAGACTAGGGATCGAGGGAAAGATGAATGGAGCAAAGTACAGAGAGATCCTTGATGAAGTCCCGAGCACTCTGGAGCAGGTTCTCAGACTGTGGCAAAGGTTCACCTTCCAACAGGACAACGACCCTATGCACACAGCCAAGACAATGCAGGACTGGCTTCGGGACAAGTCTCTGAATGTCCTTGAGTGGTCCAGCCAGAGACGGACTTGAACCCGATCGAACATCTCTGGATAGACCTGATAATAGCTGTGCAGCGACGCTCCCCATCCAACCTGACAGAGCTTGAGAGGATCTGCAGAGAAGAATGTGAGAAACTCCCCAAATACAGGTGTGCCAAACTTTTATCGTCATACCCAAGAAGACTCGAGGCTGTAATCCCTGCCAAAGGTGCTTCAACAAGGTACTGAGTAAAGGGTCTGAATACTTATATAAATGTAATTCAGTTTTGTATTTTTAATACAATTGCAGAAATGTCTAAACTTGTTTTTGCATTGTCATTATAGGTTATTGTGTGTAGATTGAGGGGGGGGGGGAGAAACAATTTAATTCATTTTAGAATAAGGCTGTAACATAACAAAATGTGGAAAAAGTAAAGGGGTCTGAATACTTTCAGAATGTACTGTAAAAGGTGTCCACATGCTTTCCAGCCGAAACAGTTCGGAATAAACATTTTGTGACGTTTTTGTTCGTTTGGGAGCCGAAGTCTACGCCCCTTTATCGGTGATTGGTCAACAGTAGAGATTGTTCAATAAAGTCTTTATTGTCGTTCAACGAAAGACGACTTGTTTTCATGCACATTTTTCCATTGAGAAATACTGCACCAAACATCTTAGTTAGATGTAAAATTGCGAGACTAAGATATCCTCTGCAAAAATGTCAAAATTAATTATAGATTTCACGAATTATCTTATATTAATTCTGACTATTTTGAGGAAGTGTATACTGGCTACGGCGTCTCAAAATGGACAAACAGTACTATTTCTGCTTGTTTCTCGTCTTTGTGAGCACACTCGTTCGGTTCGGCTAGGCGCGAGCCGAACTGAAGCATGCTGACTCCTTAAGTCCGGTCTTGGAGTGTCTTAACAAAATCAAACCAAAATATTTAGGCTGACTTCATCCAGTAAAATTAATTTGCGTGATATGTAAATATGCAATATTTAATGAGATCACATTTTCATATTTTAAAACAATATATTGGAACATTTGTATGTCCTTTGATCATTTTTGTAAAGTTCATGCAATCGACATGTAGGCACAAGTCGGACAATTTCTATACCCAAAATGCAACACATATTGAAAGATGATGATCAGCTGTGATCAACAATGGTCACCCAATGCATAAAACTGATCTGCTCAAACCAGCCCAATGTCTTTGTGCTACCTAAACAAAATATTATCGGTAATTATAAGTTCTTTGATGTATGTGTCTTTCTCTTGTTTCCTATCTTCTTAGCTGGTTCCTGAGCACATAGTGATGACAAAAGAAGAACTGTCAGAGTTGCTGCTTCGATAGTATCCTTTTAGCACCGAATGCAGAATTATTTTTATACCATGGCATTACATAGTACATTTCTTTCTTAGTTACCATGTTCCACACTTACATGTTCCTAAGACACACACAAACAATTCATGAACATGCTGCAGTCATGATTTACTATTATGTTGCCTTAGTGATTCCTTGATTGACGTGTCAGTAAACTGAAGGAGAGCCAGCTACCCAGGATTCAAGCAGGAGACCCCGTGGCCAGATACTTTGGACTGAAAAGAGGACAGGTGAGACTCTCACACACACATAAATGACTGTGGTGTTTTATGTGTAATTTTTTGTTGACTCCTGTGTTGACCTGCCTGTCTGTTGTAACAGGTTGTGAAGATCATCAGACCCAGTGAGACTGCAGGAAGATACATTACCTACAGGCTGGTGCAGTAGACACACACACACAACAGCTTTAGATTATGGACCAGAAGGAGGGTGAAACCTGATGATTGTGGACAGGGAACAACTGAAGATGTTACATATGAAGAAGAAAGAACATGCTCTCATCACTGTCTCCTAAGTAATAATAATATGCCATTTACCAGACGCTTTTATCCAAAGCGACTTACAGTCATGCGTGCATACATTTTTGTTTATGGGTGGTCCCGGGGATCGAACCCACTACCTTGGCGTTACAAGCGCCGTGCTCTACCAGCTGAGGTTGACTTTTGGCTCTGTTAGTTTTTATGTGTAGCTTGAGGTGAAAACTTCTGCATTAAAGTTTAGATTTTTTAAAATTCTTGTGTCATTTATGTTTGAAAGTACAAATAATTTATTTCAGAATAAGTTTATCCAATTGTTTTTAATGTCCAAGAGCAAGGCATTTTCACTTTGAGAAACACGTCCCACACAACTGATTGAAGCTGAATGCACACTGAACATTTCTTTTATTACCTCGACTGCAGTTACTGTTCTGAGGTGCAAAACAGTCCGAAATAGTGTTGACTGGTGAATTTAATGTCACTAAGGATATACAACAATCATGTTAGAACTGTAACAATATGAAAATACAAAACAAACGATAAGTTCTCAATGAGTAGCACCCCGACCTGCAGCAGTGCTGAAGCATTGGTGTGACTACACAGAGGGCAGGCTAGAGCGTAAACACGTACCGTATCAATACAGCATACAAGGGGTGTACAGAGAGAACACAAAAAGTGTAAATTGCACACATTTACCATACAAAAACACTGAATGTGACACATTACTTCCTGGTATCTCACCAGGAAATTAAAATGAAAATAGTTTTGTGCAGCAGTTTGGCAGAACTGATTTAGAAAATCATACCTCACAAGTCATGCAAGGAAATGAAGAAGTTCACACAACAGCAATATGATATTCCGTTATCCAGACAGTGTACTGACTGTTTTTCCTCAGTCAACACATTAAAACTAGTGATGGGGGGGGGATGAATCAATATTTACATATCGCAATATTATTTTGGACGATATTATATCGATACTTTGACTAAGTATTGATTAGTAAAAACATTATAAAAAAATAGACTTTTGTTTTGTTTTTGCTAGGTACCATTAGCTAGCACTAGTCAACTCTACCTGTGCCAAAACGCTGGTATTTTTTGTCCTATAGCTTGTTCTCCATCTTTTTTAAAAATAGTGAACCAACATGTTTTCAGCACTATTTCCATGACTGATCAAAACTAATTTTCTCATGCTCTCTCATCTCTCTGCAGCAGACGTATAGAGAGCAATATGCTTGGAACATCAAATTGCAATAAAATCGCAGTATCGAATCGCAATACATATCGTATCGGCACCTAAGTATTGTGATAATATCATATCGTGAGGTCCTTGGCAATTCCCAGCCCAAATTAAAACATATAAAAAGTTGGAATCACTTTCATTCCAACTCCAAGTTGACAAATCAATTCCAATTGTAAGAATTAATTCAAGTCCTTCATTAAATTTTTTTAATTCCAGTATAAATGTTCCAGACGTTCTTTGAGTTCAGGGTCAGAGGGTCCTCCTCAGAGTCTGATTCTACTGGTCTCTCTATGTGGTTAGTTGGCATCTCACCCCTGTTGTGTTGAGTCTGTCCTGTTGTCTCCCCCGTGGTCTTCTTCCCCATCCCCTTTGTACACTCAGTGTATATCTGGATATAAAATCAACTGAACAAAATCCGCTCTATTGCCTGTGAACGAGGCAATTTGTAATTCATAGCTACCCCTAAACCTCCCCAGAGTCCAACATTTCCGCTATCTGGGAATAGAAATCTATCTTGATTTGCAAGCAATAGTCAAAAAGTATCTAATTAAAATGAATATATTGCCAAGAATCAACTTTTATAGTTCCATGATCCCTCTTTCACCACCAGCAGGATACTGGGATAGGCTACATGCTTTACTTGCTAAATTCATTTGGAAGAGGAAATGCCCTCGTATTCAATTCTCTACACTTCAGCGTGAAAAATGTGCAGGTGGCCAAAACTTCCCAAATTTCTAATTCTATTTTTGGGCTTTCATCTTACGCCCTCTGTATTCATGGTTAAATCCGGATACAGCTGTATCTTGGCGCCCCCTTGAGGAAAAACTAGTTGCCCATCACAGACTCTTAAAACATAATCCATTCTGATATCTCACTCAAACTGCAAACTCAAATTTGGCCCTATCATCTCACAACTTCTCAGTCTGGTGCCTGGTTGGTAAACATACCAAAACTCATCTCAAATACCATCCTCACCTTCCTTTATTTCACAACCACGCTCTCCACCTAGGTGGTTCTCTTTTCATCAATGGTCTGAAAGAGGGATTCGTACTATCTCATATTACTGAAGGCTACTAACTTTGTGCATTCCAAGACCTCCAGAAGCAAATTAACTTACCTGGCACTTTCTTTTTCTTTTACTTACAGCTCTGTTCTGATTTGTGTCCCCTGGGGGCAAGAATGGTCTATCCATCCAATCCACAAATTATACTGAACAAAAATAAACGCAACATGCAAAAATGTCAGATTCTGCTGAGTTAAATTTCATAAGGAAATCAGTCAATTGAAATAAATTCATTAGACCCTAATCTATTGATTTCACATGACTGGGCAGGGGCGCCGACAATCCCGCAGGTGAAGAAGCCGGATGTGGAGGTCCTGGGCTGACGTGGTTAAACGCCAAATTCTCTAAAACTACGTTGGAGGTGACTTAGGGTAGAGAAATTAACATGAAATTCTCTGGCAACAGCTCTGGTGGACATTCCTGCATTCAGCATGCCAATTGCACTCTCCCTCAAAACTTGAGACATCTATGGCATTGAAAAAACTGCAAAAAAAATGGAGTGGTCTTTTATTGTCCCCAGCACAAGGTGCACCTGTGTAATGATCATGCTGTTTAATCAGCTTCTTGATATGTCACGTCTGTCAGGTGGATGGATTATCTTGACAAATGCTTACTAATAGGGATGTAAACAAATTTGTGCACAACATTTTAAGAAATAAGCTTTTTGTGCGTATGGAAAACTTCTGGGATCTTTTATTTCAGCTCATGAAACCAGCACTTTACATGTTGCGTTTATATTTTTGTTCAGTGTACTTATTCTTAGTAGTACACAGGGACTGGTCTCTAAATTAACTTCTCTGCTGCTTAAAATTACTCAAACCAATCCCTTACCATGCAGTAGCGGTGTGTGGGTAAAATCACGGGGAAGCCAAGCCAGAAAAAAAAGCCATAGGCCTATTACAACCTATGTGTTATGATGAATGTGTTGTTTGGTCTATAAGTCTATAACCTGTTAGTTCATATGCCTTGACACCGTGATAAACTAAATGACCAAAAGTATGTGGACACCTGCTCGACGAACATCACATTCCAAAATCATGGGTGTTAATATGAAGTTGTTCCCCCCTTTGCTGCTATAACAGCCTCCATTCTTCTGGGAAGGCTTTCCACTAGATGTTGGAACATTGCTGCGGAGACTTGCTTCTATTCAGCCACAAGAGCACCATTTCTGCATGGACCTCGCTTTGTGCACAGGGGGCATTGTTATGCCGAAACAGGAAAGGGCCTTCCCCAAACTGTTGCCACAAAGTTGGAAGCACAGAATCGTCTGGAATGTCATTGTATGCTGTAGCGTTAATATTTCCCTTCACTGGAACCAAGGGGCCTAGCCCAAACCATGAAAAACAGCCCCAGACCATTATTCCTCCTCCACCAAACTTTACAGTTGGCACTATGCATTGGGGCAGGTAGCGTTCTCCTGGCATCTGCCAAAACCCAGATGAAGCATGATTCATCACTCCAGAGAACGCATTTCCACTGCTCCAGACTCCAATGGCGGCGCACTTTACACCACTCCAGCCGACTCTTGGCATTGCGCATGGTGATCTTAGGCTTGTGTGCGGCTGCTCGGCGACGGAAACCAATTTGATGAAGCTCCAGACTAACAGTTCTTGTGCTGACGTTGCTTCCAGAGGCAGTTTGAAACTCGGTAGTGAGTGTTGCAACTGAGGACAGACAATTTTTATGTGCTTCAGCACTCTGCGGTCCTGTTCTGTGAGCTTGTGTGGCCTACCGCTTTGCGGCTGAGATGTTGTTGCTCCTAGACGTTTCCACTTCATAATAACAGCACTTACAGTTGACCGGGGCAGCTCTAGCAGGGCAGAGATTTGGCGAACTGACTTGTTGGAAAGGTGAAATCCAATGACGGTGCCACGTTGAAAGTCACTGGGCTCTTCAGTAAGGCCATTCTACATATATGGAGGTTGCATGGCTGTGTGCTCGATTTCATACACCTGTCAGCAACGGGTGTGGCTGAAGTAGCCGAATCCACTAATTTGAAGGGGTATCCACATACCTTTGTGTGTGTGTGTGTGTATATTCATTGAGGGAAAAAACTATTTGATCCCCTGCTGATTTTGTACGTTTGCCCACTGACAAAGAAATGATCAGTCTATAATTTTAATGGTAGGTTTATTTGAACAGTGAGAGACAGAATAACAACAAACAAATCCAGAAAAACGCATGTCAAAAATGTTATAAATTGATTTGCATTTTAATGAGGGAAAGAAAGATTTCTGGCTCCCAGGTGTCTTTTATACAGGTAACGAACTGAGAGGAGTGCTCCTAATCTCAGCTTGTTACCTGTATAAAAGACACCTGTCCACAGAAGTAATCAATCAATCAGATTCCAAAATCTCCACCATGGCCAAGACCAAAGAGCTCTCCAAGGATGTCAGGGACAAGATTGTAGACCTACACAAGGCTGGAATGGGCTACAAGACCATCGCCAAGCAGCTTGGTGAGAAGGTGACAACAGTTGGTGCGATTATTCGCAAATGGAAGAAACAAAAGAACTGTCAATCTCCCTCGGCCTGGGGCTCCATGCAAGATCTCACCTCGTGGAGTTGCAATGATCATGAGAACGGTGAGTAATCATCCCAGAACTA